AGTGCGAATGATTTTAATGTCCTTTCAAATGTAAAAACTGAGAAAAATAAAGTAGTTATCTGAGTGTATTATTAAAATATATATTTATTTACATAAAACCCCCTCTGTCGACAAACTTGCCCCCCCTGAATAAGTTTTCTAGCTACGGGGCTGTCTTCAACACAACGAATCGTCTACGCGAGCGAAGCCGCGGGCGAAAAGCTAGTAAATTAATACAATTTAAAACAATTACTCGAGTTCCGCTAAAATTAAATAAAATTTATATGTATACGAACCACTTGACCCAATATTTCTACCGAACTAATTCTGATTTAGTAACTGGTTACGCGTAACTGTTCATTTATTCATTTTATCGGTTTCTGTCTATTAAATGCCTATTTACACTTATAAGAGTTGGCTGGTAGAAAAGCCAGAACTGTATTCTGTATGTAAAATCGGTCAGGTAATATTACCTTACCGAAATGTCAATTGTCAATATTTGTCAAGGAATTGGAAAGCAATGAATGTGAAAACTGTTTAATGCTTGACTGGCTGCATTTTTAACATTTTCGGGCAATACGTGCCTAAATTCAATATTTTTCTAATTTTCTTCACAAATTTTTTTTTAATAAACAACAAAATGTAACTTCTATGAATGTAACCATGACAGGGAAACATCTCATGCAAACGCGATCAGCTCAATCTTTTTCAAAGGAAATTGCCTGATTTAACTTCCAATTTCAATGGACAGAAACCGATAAAACCTTAAACATACCACGGATGTAACAATATCATAGCAGCCTTAAATCTCTCAAAATCCTCACTATCACTCGGATTTCGAACTGGGATTTGCGTCTGTTATGACATTTGACATAGGTATGTTAATAGCTATTACTGTCCAATTGGATCATTATCATCAGTTAATGTAAAAAAAGGTGTGATTTCCCCTTTCCTACCGAATCTTATAATGAAATGATTACACTGTCTGTATGAATTTATAAATAACATGTATTCTTCAAAATTCAGATGTTATTTCATGTCAAAATTTAATATTCACTAATAAGATATTAGTTCGAACAACTCAATTTGTCATTGGCATGGCTAATGATATTGAAATTCGTTTCATTGAATTGACATTTTATGCCTCAAATTACAGAGTTTTTCTACGATTGGGGTTTACCATATTCTTTGTTGTATAAAAGAATTGACACGCAAAAGCCGTTTTTCTAAACATCATTTTTACAATTTTAAAGTTGTATGAATTTTTTGACATATTTTGACCAAGAGTTGCAATGATAGTGTAATTTCATTGCGTCTACGTAAGTTTTTGCAAATGAACATTTGGGATTTTGTGCTATTATTGTAAAATATGTAAAATTTCTTATGATACAGTGGGTATGTCCCATAAATTCAAATTGAAGATTTCTGTAAAAAGAAAACAAGTGTGTTAGACACAAGTCGTCCCGCATAGGGTGTTATTTCAAAAATAAATGCCTTTGTAGTCAGCACGTCTCAAAAATGTCATAACTATGTGGGGTGTCAGAACCGAAGCCACTTTGTAACTTCGTCTATCCTTTGCATTTTAAAGCCATTCCCGGTACCGTTCGCACTTGGCAGTTAACATAGACAAATTTAAAGTGCTATGTTTGTAATCTAACATGCGAGAAATACTTAGAAACATCATTTGAAAGGAGCAAAAACTAAAATACACTTACCGGCACGAAAAACGGACCACCCGTTTTTTTTTTTTAATATCCGAAAATGTACAAAATAAAGTACGATTTCGGTTGCAATACTTTGATGTTGTTATGAAACATTTATTGTAATATTTTTATCCAAAAAGAACTAAAAAATATAGTATTTTAATAGAAAATGATAAAAATTCAATACTCAAAGCTAAAAAAAATGAAAGTTTCCAAAAAATCAAAATCAATGTTTAAGGACGTTAACAACGGGTATTTTCCCCACGAACCTATAAGACTGCTGCCATTGTCCAGGGCATTCCATGAAATAAATTGTTTCTTTCTTGATTCTCAACCCTGCTTCTGAAGATGCCATTTACGAAAGTGTGCGAAACATCGAGCCCAAAAACGCAACTGACACGGTCCCAACCCGGAAAACGATCATATATGTTTATTTATTATTGTTGGATATTCTCTCATTCTTTTAAAAGTATATTCTGAAGCTCATCTAAAGTGTGGGGTGCAGGTACACTAAATTAATATGCTAGGCAAGAAACAACATCAAAAATAAGCGTAGTAAAAACGTCGAAGCACTGTACTCAGAAAAATATTACATTATGATGATCACAAGTGATCACAACCATGGATATTCTGTCACGACCGTGAATCAATTTTTTGATAGTTTTTTCGCCCTGTCTATGACATTTAAGCTCAACCATTAATCTAAACTGTGTTTTAGATTCATTTTCTTAGAATCTTTTCTTCATCAGCACCAAAAAAAACATCAAATTTAAAATTTATTTTTTTCACTAGTAGAAACCATAAGACAATAAATTGAAAATATAAACATTCAATTTTTTGACACAACATGATTTTGTTTTGATTTCTAACCAAACTTAATCTAAATCACAAACCACCTACTCTAGAGTAGGTGGTTTGTGATCTAAATCTTCAACACCGTTTACACTTGTCGCTCAATTAATCATTTTATCTTCGACCGTCTACAACTACCATGCGTATACTCAAGTAATGTTAGTAGCACACATTTATTCATTTTTTAAGAAATAATCACATAAGTATTGCGCACATAACCTCAGTCTTCTTTTTGAACCCGTGGTCGCAAAAGTTGAATTTGCTACCTCTATAAATGAGTCGACATTTGCATGCTTCATGACTGCTAGTGAAAAAAATAAAATATTAACCATTGTTGCAAAGCCACTTCTAGACCTGCGCGTCTCGAGTTCTAATTTGCGCTCGGTCTAGAATGCTTGGCTTTGCAACCTTGGCTAATAATATACTATTTTCTTCAAACGTCAGAACAACGGACCTTTGTATACCATCATACACATAGTAAAAGACGCATGTCAATGCCATGTCTATAAATAGTATATTATTAGCCAAGGTTGCAAAGCCAAGCATTCTAGACCGAGCGCAAATTAGAACTCGAGACGTGCAGCGTCGAGGGCTCTGAAGCGCGAAGTCTAGAAGTGGCTTTGCAACCGTGGTTAATATACTATTTTTTTCACTAGTAGAAACCATAAGACAATAAATTGAAAAAATAAATGTTCAATTTTTTGACGCAAGATGATTTTGTTTTGATTTCTAATCAAACTTAATCTAAATCTTCAACACAAAGAAAACCGTTTACACTTGTAGCTGAATTAATCATTATCGGTCTTATACGACCGCTGATAATTTTTCCAATTCTGTCCAGTGGTCGTATACGACCGCCAATTTCTCCCGATGCATAGACATTTCTAATATGCCAGCGGTCGTAGCTACGACTGCTTTTAATACATCATTCGACCGCTGTGGCACACCGGGCTTGCAGAAGATCCCGAATGTTTAGATATATTTTACAAAATTTTAATGTAAATTAAGGTACCATTTATAATTGGGTATACAATTTTAAACGAAGAAACATTTCTTATAAAATAAAATATAATTTCATTGTTTATGGGTAGTGTTAAAACAATTCAAACACATATGAGGTTCACCCTCGCAATGTCCACAATATGTCACAACTTTTTTTACTTTTCACTTGATTCTTCGTAAGTTCTCCACGCAATTTCTTGCCAACAACCTTTGCAATATTTTCGTACTTTATCAAAATTTCCTTCCTTTCTAAGTAAAGTATGTGCTTCTCCTGATTTTGTTGATGGTGTTTTTGATTCCTGAGTAAGTAAATGAAATCACTTCTTTGTTTCCTGCACAAACGTGCAAATCTTGACATGTTTATGCAAGTTACAACGACCGCTAGTACGACCGCTTTGGCAATAGCGGAATAAAAATGCCGCCCCCGCCCGAGAGTATATGACCGCTACATGAATTTTGCAAAAATTTTGCTTATTGTAAAAAGTATGTATGGAAAAAATGGAAAAAAAAGTTGAAAAATATTATTTTGAGCGTAAAAAAAAACACACATATTTTCAACGTAAAAACACATTTTCAACTTGGCACGAGAAGCAATTTTTGAAAATTTAATATCGCCGTCAACCTGTTAAATTCTACAAAAGCTAATGATAACTGGCTTGGCATTATAGTCTTTTATACAGAGTTACTATAAAGTCTCGGAACGCTTGAATGACTGTATTTGAAAAGCTTTTTTTTGTAAATTTGGTGTGGATATATATTTAAACATGGTGACTTTGTTACAATATTTTTCCTTTTTTTATCGCTTTCGGTTTGACACACAAGGCCGTCTACTTTTTTTATGAAACATTCAGTTTTTTGATGCAGAATAAAAAACTAATTTCAGAAATTATAACATGTTTATTTCTACTGATACAAAAAATATAAATGTAAAATCACGTCATCTTTGAAAATACTAATACATAAATAAAAAACTATGAGTAGGACTACAATAAATGTTCAAAGTGTTCTCCATTTACAATTCAGCAGTGATGTAATTGATCAATAAAATCTCTCAATGAATTATGTATGATTTTACAATTTTCGGTGTTTTTTTGCGAATGTTTTTCTATTTTTTGTATCCGCAGAAATAAACATGTTGATAATTTCTGGAAGTAGTTTTTTATTCTGCTTCAGAAAATGCCAAAAAATCTGGGTGTTTCATTAAAAAAAAAAAAGTGGGGACCCTGTCTGTTAAACCGAGAGCGATAAAAAAAAGGAAAGTCGTTGTAATCAGTTAGCCATGTTTAACTATACATCCAAAGCAAATTTCAGAAAAAAACTTTTCAAATAACAAAGTTATTGGACCCTTCTGGGACTTTATAACCCTGCAATAGAGCTCTGTACTTTGACTTTTCCACCTGTCCATTGCTGTTCTAATAACTAGCAGACACAGCATAGATGATTGATGCACATCGAAAAACGTACCTGCGTCCCTCTAAGAGGCCAAAGCATTTGCCAGGGAGTAATATTAATGTTCATCACGTCGAATCCGCGATTTATATAAAAATCTGCATATTTATAAATGTGCTTCTGTTTGGCCAACAACCATGACAACATCACCACTAGAGGCTTATTCTCCGGTCTTTCTAATTTGAAATTTAAAACTTTTGCCTCCTTCTTTTTACTGGAAAGAATTGTTATATTTTTCGTAATTTCTGTGGATGAAATGTTTCGAATGGACATGTAGACCATGGTCTAAAAAATTATACACTTTTCCAGATACACTGCAAAAGAAGTATTTACTTACTGATATTTGTTTCAGGGCAGGCTTTATTAAAATGTAGAAAACACTCGAATGACAACTTAATACTTTCATCTTTGGAAATGGCTTATCATGCTTGAACCAACTTGAACCACTTTTCTATAATGTTAATCAGTTATACTATTGGTTGATTAATGTGTTGATTACTTAAACTTTAAATTTAAGTTATGTTTATGTCTTCTGCACTCACATTGGACGTCTCCTAACCAACTAGAACCAAACACGCACTCCCCACTTGCTTTTTCATGCTTTTGTACCAAATTATAATTAAATTACTAATTAATGGAATGTAAATAATTTATCCTCCATTTTTTTGTGGAGAGTTGGAGACATTTACATTAATACATTCATTAATATGTGAACATCGTGTGCTACTGCCACAAAAAAGGACCAATGAAATAGTGAATAACCAGTTATATCTTACGAATAACCGTATCAATTAAACTCGAGCCTTCGGATCACGGTGGTTTTCGCTGGTATAGTAATCACTTAATCAGTAATAGCCAATGGCCTTCGAATTGCTGCGTATTTGCTTCGTGTTCGGATAACTACCACACGTGTCAAATCATAGAAATGTCCATGATACAAGTTGTGTTGGTTGTGTATCATGGAAATGTCAAATGTTAATAATTAGACCAGCTCTGCTCTGCTGGGCCAGCAGTAAAGGGATCGACGCGGGAAATTTAAACTCAATTCATAACAACAGACGTGCTAACACTGGATATTGCTGAATTTATTGTCGAATTCTCATTTTCTAAAACAACTAATTTACCTGATGAAATGTGTAACCCAAGTACAGCGGAACTTTGAAGTTTATTTTTACTGGAGTAGTCAGTGGCATTAAAGTGTAAACTACAAACCGTGTGCTGATCGTGATGCTGGTTATACACCTTTCAAGGGTCAATTGGTGTAGCAAACGGGAATTGCCGCATCGTTGTATCCATACATCAAAATGTGCCCGATCGTTTTTGAGATTGGGAAATCTGTGGCGCGTACCTATCGTATTGTACTGGTATTGTAACAAGACGTATGCACGCTGCAAATTCTCATTTTTTTCTTGTTTAGAATCTTATTAATAGTGTACTATTGATTAAAGTGACGTCAACAAACTATATTTTTTATGACATTATCTGAATTTGTCTGAATTCTTTGAATTTTGTTTCATGGCTAAATAAATTGCTACAAGTTTGCAACTACTGCGCCCTCTGATGGGCTGCGGCTGATTCGCAATCGGAACTGACAACATGATTAACTTTTCGTTCTGTACACGATAGTATATTATTATATCTATGTACATATTATTATCTATAGCCCCCACAACCTACTACGATACCAGCAGTTTTTAAGCGCCCGTTTTAGGAAGATTTATGAATGGAGTTAAAACACCCTACTTATACCACCGAGGTAAAGAGTGTAAAGACTGTTATATTCATGTGCATTTCTTTTTTTTTTACTTGTATTCTCGTAAGTTTTTTTAATTGTTTTTTCTAATAAGATACAACTAAAATAAATAAGTTATCGTGTATTTGTACTACATAATATGTACATTTTAATTGTATCCATTGAAATAATTTGTCCGCCACTGTATTCGTCCGTGTAATAACAGTGTCTGCTGATCGTATTCTGATTATAAATAGATACGAACTCAGTAAATGCAGTACGTGATCTTTGCCTTTTACCTGTTTTGACAGCTTGAACGCGTCCGACAAGGACATCCTTGTCAAATGTACAGCTGTAGTTCAGCTGATGTCTGACGTAGGGTGGTGGCGTTTATGGTGAAAGAAGAAAGAAAACAAATGTGTTGTTTATAGACTTATGGACAATACATTTGTCTATTTTTTTCTCCCCTACAGTTTATATAGCTTTATATAAATTAAGTGGACTTATACAATGAAAGGTACAGGTAAATAAAAATATAAACCTTTGTCCTTATTAATGTGTTTATGACGTAATAAGTGGAATGGTGCAAACAAAGGGACGGTATTAAGCTAACAAAATTGTGTTGCGTATACTTAGTAGTGGAGAGCGGGAAGGAAGAAAACAAAAATAAGTCTGGCCTCAAATAGTGATTCATCCGGGGACGACGGTGGAGAACCGCCTCGTAAAAAAACCCGAAGAGACATTTATAACGTAGGTGACAGCACGACAATGCAAGCTAGTAACGGATACATGCAAAACGGAACACCTTCCGGAAACAGAACTTCTGAAAATGGTCACGAAGATAATATAAATGGACCACCACTACAGTTGTCGCAAACCAATCAAGATATTGTGAGGCTTATTGGACAGTATCTCCGAAATGAAGGCTTAACGTGAGTAACAATTTTGTTAAGAAATAACTTGGACCTTAAGAAACCAACGTAATTTTGTTATAGTGATGTTGTTGCTGTGAAGCTTAATTTACAAATTTGCGATATAAGTTTTGCAAGTCATTCCTATATGTGCTCACTTTCGTGCAACAAAATAATTGCCTAACTGGAGCTATCTGCTCAAAATACTTTTGTTTTTGTCTTGCCGTCTCACTTCTTTATAGGTTAAATAATGCATAGCAAGAAGGGATAAGAAAACAAAAAAAATTGAACCCCAAAAACTGTTCTTTCATTTAATGGTTAATTTATTAAGTTTTTGTGTTTTTTGTTTACTTTTCATACAGCCACTATAGTAAGCTATTTATTTGAGCTAGCAATCATTATGAAAGTAATCAAGTGGTAGGTATAACTTAAGTGAAAGATAGTAGTAGACTCGTTTCCAAAAAATTTCGGGTAAGATGAGCAAATCAAGTTCTCATATATTAGTGAAAAGCAATGGGAATAAGTATGATTTTCATGTCAATGTCATTTACCCGAAATTTTTTGGAAACGACGTTAGAAATTTGAAATTATGAATTAATTTAAAAAAATGTGTAAAATTATTATACAGTTATCTCAGAACTAAATACATTAATTTTAACCAGTGACAAAACTCGTGAAACGAAACAACTTTGTTATATATCATTTTTTCGAAAACTCAAATCGAATTTACAATTTTCCCATCCATATATTCACGAACCGTCTTTGTTCACTTCAAGTAATAACAACACTACAACAATAAAAACAATACTTCTCTCGCACCTAAAGTACAATGAACCATATCCAGCATTTTCGAGTTGAGTTTTTCTTTGCACAATTTTGTGATGACGTCATCAGCATTTTTACAAGGACACGTGTATCAACTTGGATTGGTGCAGTGTAATACTAAAAATAACAGTATTGTATTCTTAAATTTTCTGGAAAAATGGAGTGAACCGTTCCTGATTTAATCCATAAAATAAAATGATTTATTCATTATTTTTTTTAGGTCCACTGTTTAAGCAAATCTAAAAAATATGAATGCAGTGATAAGGCAAAACTCATCATGTTTTCCATATTACGGGTACAATTTTGAGATGACGTGATGAGTTTTTCGGGGGGAACAAACAGATATATTTTCATCAACAATTTACCATGCTTACAATCATTTTAAAACTTCTGCAAGATTTTAAAGTATTCAGTTTTGCAATTCTTGACTTATTCAATAAAATAAATTAACTGATTCATTATTTTTTTTTAGTTACTCTGTATAAGCAAATCTAAAAAATATTAATACAATGATAAATTACAAGTACAGAGTGATCCTATTTTTTGGGGTCGATAGAGAGATACATTTTGATTAAAAAGTTATGACCCCTACAATAACTTTAAAACGTCTGCCAGATTTCGAAGTATTCAATTTTGCAATTCTTGATTTAATCAATAAAATAAATTGACTCAGTCATTAATTTTTTTTAGACACCCCGTATAAGCAAATCTAAAAATTGGTCGAAAGTTATTTCGACAGGACTTCCCTCGCCCCCGAAGTGCAATGCCACAAATCCCGCTTCTTTGAAAAATAAAAAAAATTGATTTTGCGAATTTATATTCAACTAGGTTTTCGCCCGCGGCTTCGCTCGCGTAGACGATTCGTTGTGTTGAACAATATTATTATCAACCTTCAAATAGAAAATGTGTTGAAGGACATTAATACAATTTCCAGTAAAAATCGGCATAAAAAATGTTTGCTCATAAAAATTTTGTCACCCCCTTTCATCTGCTTAGGGGTGGAATCTCGAAACAATCTGAAATACGTGTTTCATTATTTGTGTTGAAGAATATTAATACCAAGTTCCCCGTAAAAATTTAAATTTACAGTAGAAATATTTTCCCATACAAACTTCGCCACCACTTTTCACACCCTTAGGGGTTGAATCTCGGCAAATGCTTAAATCCGGGTTTCATTCTTTGTATTGAAGAGCATTAATTTAATATCAAGTTTCACGCAAAAATTTAAATTTACAATAGAAATACTATTCCTATACAAACTTAACCAGTACTTTTCACCCCTTTAGGGGTTGAATCTCAGAAAATGCTTAAATACGTGTTCATTACTTGTGTTGAAGAGCATTAATTTAATATCAAGTTTCACGTAAAAATGTAAATAAATATACTTTAAATACGTGTTTCACTATGCATTAATACTAAATTGCATGTCAAAAATTTACAATAGAAATAATCTTCCGATATAAAGTTAGCCACCACTTTTCAACCCCTTAGGGGTTGAATCTCGGAAAATGTTTGAATACGTGTTTCATTACTTGTGTTGAAGAGCATTAGTACCAAGTTTCACAATAGAAATATTTTCCCATACAAATTTAACCTCCACATTTCACCCCCTTAAGGGTTGAATTTTAGAAAATGCTTAAAGATGGGTTTCATTATTTGTGTTGAAGAACATTAGTACCAAATGTCACGTAAAAATTTCAGTTTATAGTAGAAATATTGTTCCTATACAAACTTAGCCGCCCAAACTTAGACACCACTTTTCACCCCCTTAGGGGTCGAATCTTCGAAAATCCTTAAATACGTATTTCCTTATTTGTATTGAAGAGAATTAAAATGTACCAGGTTTCACGGAACGATGTAAATTTACTGTAGACATATTGGTCCTATACAAATTTTATGACCCCTTTTTAACCCTCTTAGGGGATGAATTTCGAGAAATCCCTTCTTAAACGATACCTCCGGTATAAAATGAACATTCTCTCCAAATTTCAGCTTTCTAGCATTAGCGGTTTGGTATGGGCGTTGATAGGTCAGTCGGGACATTGCCTTTTATGTATAAAGATAAAACAAATACAAGAGTATACTATTTTATAAAATTTGTTGTAAACATTTTTGAGATGTCATGACACTAATATGGAGATTGGGAAATTTTGATTAGCGTTTTACCATCTACACGATATTCCTAACATACATATAAAATACAATCAGTCCGGTAGTTTTGGAGATTATCTGCCTAATGAAAATCTGAAGAGTCGGTACACAGACTGAACCACGAGACCTAATTTTTCATACTCTATGGGTCATGAAATCTCGAGAAAACATAAACGTAGCCAGTCCCCCGCCAATAGACTCGATTACAATACTTTCTTTGCTTGCGCTCAGGAAGTAAAAATAAAATTCGCAAAATTAAAGTTTTTAATAATTTTTCAAACATTTTGTACATAAAATATTTTTGTCGACGCGTTTCGCCAACCACGTTGGCGTTTATCTAGGCAAAGCTAAACTATGTATGTGTATGTATTTGTTCGACTGTATTTCAAGGGCGAGGGAAGTTGTATATAAGTAGCCCAAGACCACATTTTTGTTCAACACACGTTTATTTATATGTTTGGACGAATTGTTTATGTCTGGCACGACGACGACGATCACTCCGCCGATAAGCAACTAATGTAGTACACGTTATTCTTGTAAATTTTCCGGGAGAGACTTTTTTATGCATTCATTAATGAATCATACTTTAGTTTTGTTTATTATCCATCCAGTGCCATTGATTGATGTATCGTACTAACAATAATGGAAACATGAATGCGTTGTAAAGCACGTGAATAAACTACAGTGTAATAATAACAGTTATCTACTCTATTATTGTATTTTCATGTTTTAAAATTAGGATGTGCTGTTTCGGCTTCCCGCATGAACGTTTGCGGAAATGCGGGAAGCAGGTTTCACGATCGTGTTATGTACAATAGTTTTTGCAACGAATAAACTTTCAATCCGAAAAAATTAACTGTGAGTTATTTATAAAAAACGACGTTGACGGCGACGTAAACACTTAGCAATTTAACGTTTCCAAGGTATTACTTCCCGAGCGTAAGCAAAGGAAGTATTGTAATCGAGTCCGTCGGCCGACTCTCTACTTTTACGTTTTCTCCATCTTTCTTTCATGACCCCTAGAAGACGAAGAAATAGGTCTCCCATTTCCGTCTGTCTGTTTTTACACGTCCAGATTTTTGAAAAAAAAATCAAAATTATAAAACAACATTTTGCAATTTAATTTTAAATCTCCTAACCCGAATGCTTTGAAATGTTGCAGATGTTTTAAGCCTGTAAAGAGCATCGTAAATCTTTAGTCCAAATACATTTGCTTATCCCCTCCAAAAAATCGATGACGTCAGCTCGAAAATTTGCCAAATAAATCCTATCGAAACTGTACAAAGTATGATGAGTCTGTACTTGTGATTTATCACTCCATTCATATTTTTTGGATTTCCATATACAGGGTGGCTCAAAAAAAAGTAATGAATGCGGAAATTTATTTTATTGATTTACTCAGGAACTACAAAACCGAATGCTTTGAAATCTTGAAGACGTTTTAAAGTTATCATAAGCATGTTAAGTTTTTGATCAAAATGTATTTGCTGATCCCCCCTAAAAAATGTATGACGTCACCACAAAATTTTGCTGAATAGATCCTATCTAAAATGTACAAAATATGATGAGTCTCTTCTTGTGATTTATCATTCCGTTCATATTTTTTCGATTTGCATATACAGGGTGACCCAAAAAAAATAATGAATGCGTAAATGTATTTTATTGATGTAATCAGGAACTACAGAACCGAATGTTTTGAAATTTTGCAGATGTTTTAAGGTTATAAAGAGCATAATAAATTTTTAGTCAAAAGATATTGGGTTATCTTCTCCAAAAAACTGATGACGTCAGCTCAAAAGTTTGCCGAATAAATCCTATCTAGAATTTACAAAATATCATGAGTCTGTACATGTAATTTATCATCCCATTCATATTTTTTGAATTTGCGTATATCGGGTGACTCAAAAAAAATAATGAATGCGTAAATTTATTTTATTGATTTACTCAGGAACTACAAAACCGAATGCTTTGAAACCTACTGCGAAAAAAAAAACATAATAGGCATGCACGTTTCCGACAGCGAGGGAAGTACTTTGGACCAATTT